TTATTAACTGTAGTAACTCAGATAGAGTCTGTTTTAAATTCTCGCCCTATTATTACTCCCTTATCTTCCGATGTAAATGATTTAGAGGCATTAACACCAGGTCATTTTCTCATTGGAAGACCCTTGAATGCTATAGTAGAACCCGAATTAATTGATATACCTGAAAACAGACTCTCCAGATTACCAGATTTGGTCCAGTTGGAATCGTTGGCATAGGGACTATTTAAACACACTACAACAGCGTTCAAAATGGAAGGTAGAACAAACGAATATTAAAATAGGTATAGCTAGTTAAGGAGGATGAGTACTAGGGCGCATTACAAGAACTTTTTCCTGGAGTTGACGGTAAGGTTAGAGTAGTAGAAATACAGACAGCAAAAGGCATCATTAAGCGTGGAATTACAAAAATTGCAATTTTACCCCAAGGAAGAAGCTTCCTAAGTTAGTTAAGTGTTAGCTTATTATTATAAAACTTGTATTGTACATTGTGTATAAAATTTTGTATTGAAAATTGAATATTATTATATTGAATTGAGATGATTATTCGTATTGCTTTATTGTATAAGGTTGTAATTGTACAATTTTGTATGTTATGAGTATTATCGCACGAAATTATTGAAGTAACCCTTCAATGCCGGGGGTATGTTAAGTCATTAGGACTATTTAACTGTAAGATTACGTCATTTTTTCTCTTCTTGGCGCCTTGCATGGCGCAGATGTTCATTACAGCAACCCTGTAACCGCTCGCTCAATTTTTTATTGCTGTTGTTGGTAGTAAGTCATCGCTTGAAAAATGACACCCATGTGATTAAGGTTTAGAATAAAGAATTAATTAGTACAGTCCACATCTAGTTAATTTGGAATTGTTGTATAACAAGGCATGAAAAGAACATATAAGGAGAATTGGTATACATGGATTTATTTTTATTTAAATTTAGTAATGTTTTCAATTCTTATATAAATGGAAAAGTATGGTACCTTTATACCTATTACCACTGCAGGAAGAAAAGAAACATTCAATGCAAATAGTTTAGTTGATTAATACTGGTTTGATGAACTTAAATATTACCAGTTACATCTTATCCATCACGAAAATTACAAGTGTCTTATATTTCGATAATTTATGCTGGCAAACAGAAAATTATTTTCATTCAGGAAATTAATGCTACTGAATAAAAATTTATATCAAAATAAATGCTATAGAAAATGGTATCTCTCTTTCCAAGATTAACAATAACCATTTACTAACATGCACCTTATTAATTTGTGTAGATTTGAATCAATTGCTTATGAATTAATATAATGAAAGCAGGAAAGTAAACTTTTTACTTGCATATTGAGAAATAATTATTACCTGTACATATTTGATACTTTTAAAACACGTTTCAAAAGAAATATCTACTTTAAGGGGACAGTGGACGTTCAAATACATTTTTTTAGTTATTTTCATAGAATTATGAAATTTTGCATGCATGTATATTTTACAATAATTATATCAAATATCTTTGAAAAAATTTCTGGATCATTGCAATTTAATTTTTTTTCAAATTTCTTTTGAATTTTTTAAATTTTTTCAAAATGCTCTATACGACTTAATTTTTTTCCATTTCTTGTTATTTTGCTTTATTTTTATTAAAAATGCATTTCAAACACAACTTAGTATCAATTAGTGAATTGCATAAAATGTTAGTTTTTAATTAATATTTCTTTCACATATACCTGAATTTTGGACAAAATTTCCCACTTTAATTGGACTTTTATCCCCTTAATGAATTCGCATTCAAAAATGCATACTAATTTTTGTTACATGTACAAATGGGAATCTAAATTACAAATTACAGTCATTTTGAACATAAAATAAAGCGCATGGAGCATTTTGAAGATGTAATAATCGCGAAAATTTCATTATGAGAAAAATACAATTTACGAGTATTTTTACGCTTACCTATAATATTTACTTCTTAACATGTCCTAATATATAATTTTATTTAATATAAATATTTTTTACATTATTTTACGTATGCATAAATAATGTTTTTTACTAATAAAATCGTAGAATGGTAAGAAATACTAAATATTATTTTAGAAATTTTCTCGAACACTTTCAGTAAATTCATCCAAATACTTTTTTTAAAACTAGGATCACTTTAAAAACGTCCTGCACCATATTTTCCCCTTCCTCATTTACATTTTCATTATGTTTACTTACCTTACTTGTTTTTTTTTTTGGTAATTCTTTTCTTGTATCCAGTTGAACCCCTCTTTTTGCTTTGATGTATACAACGTTTATCTTGCCTCTGTCCAATAGATATTGAACATGAATTTATATCTTTATGTTCCATACCTAAAGTATTTAAACACTCAAAATTGAAGTCACTAATTGCTGTGATAACAGCTATTTCGAGTCTGTTTTCAATGCAAATGTTTCCTTTGGGCAGTTCTTCCAAATGTTGCTATGTGAACTTTAGTGTTTCGTATTTGAATTCGTTAGTGTTTATTTGAATGAAAGCAGGAAAGTAAACTTTTTACTTGCATATTGAGAAATAATTATTACCTGTACATATTTGATACTTTTAAAACACGTTTCAAAAGAAATATCTACTTTAAGGGGACAGTGGACGTTCAAATACATTTTTTTAGTTATTTTCATAGAATTATGAAATTTTGCATGCATGTATATTTTACAATAATTATATCAAATATCTTTGAAAAAATTTCTGGATCATTGCAATTTAAATATTTCGTTAGTGTTTCGTATTTTTCAGATATGGACCATGCTAAAAGCTGATTACTGGCTAGTTATTGATATACTGGCAATATTTTGGATAAAACATTTACTGTTGATTTGTTTTTCATCATTGAATGAGATTTAGGTTTCACATTTTTAGCAATGCTACACCTTCAAAAAACAAAAATATGACATCTGTTGGGTATTTATAATGTCTGGGTAACTCATTCGTGAAACGAACTTGCATAAATAGCAGTCTTCATAACCTTACTAACGCAAAAATAGTGTCGCAGAAATTAAAATAATGTTTCTCAAATGTTTGTTTACATTTTTATTGATATTTAAATGTCACAAAAAAGTTAAACAAGCGTATTCAAACGCTTATAACTTCTTTAAAAATAATTTTACATAAAAGCGTTTTTTTGTAGACGATAGAGTTAAAAACCGAAGAATATTATCATATGAAATTTTTATTTCCCAATTTTTGGTCGATTTTTGCTAAAATCATAGTCCCCGGCTTATCTGGTTTTACAAGCATATACTGTACAATTCCTAAATGCCCTTTGAATTTTACCATAGCTTCATCAACCAAAAGATATTTATACAGCTTAAAGCAATCTAAAAACCGAAATTTCACCTGAGAAATAGCAGGCTCCAATTTTTGCAAAAAATTAAAGTTTTCATCATTTTTTTCCTTTACCCCTTTTTCTCTTTCAAAGATTTGAAAATAACGTTTAATTTTTAAAAATCTATCAGAACATATTAATTTTCTTATTCCTTCATTGCTAAGTATAGGATTCTGGGACTAGTATTAATTCATTCTAGGTAAACACATAATGCTCGTTATAGGGGGGAAACAGTTATAAAAGCCCATATCTGATTTACAGAGAGTATAGGCTGCCAACTTCCAACTTCAACACCATGATTTTTTCCACAAAACTCTGCATATTTATTTTGTTTGCATTTTGTCAAATTACTTCTAGTATTCATTAGGCAAAAGTAATTTGAAATAATCTAAAGCAGATAATCCAGTTGGCAAATCATGAGATGGTCCAGGTGAGGACGAGAAAGACCTAAATTTCATGTCTTTGTTATTTATGTTATTCTTCCAGTCGGATTCAAAGGTATCACATAAAGTGTTTGAGTTCATCATTCACATTATCAGTGAATATATGTTTTGCATGCCCATCATCTTCACCAGATTCAACGGAATATGATTCGTCTGCTTCTCCAAATAGTATGACATTTATTTTTTCTTGCGTTATCTTAAGTCTTCTGAACATTTTGAGATGAAGCTACAGAATAGCAGTGAGACATTTTCACTACTTGAGGAAGGAATAAATGAACAATCTAGACAAATCTCTCCTGGGAGAGTTGATGCTAAACAAAGGAGAGCAAATATGCATTCAAATAAGACAGCTACTTTAGTCACTTGAAAAGAACGATTGGCATGTCATTTAACAACTTTTGAAACAAATGAGCCCTGCACTAATATGATGGGGGAAAGCACCAAGTGAATGACGCATTGGGGCGATCAGTCGATATCTAAACGTACAGATGTCAGGGGCAACTTTGACCCACCTCATGATGTATATACAACACTAAGCATGTGGGTTTATGATCAAGAATCATATAGCCTCAAACAACAAGCTAATAGCAGCATAGTACTTCAGTGTTTCAAGAAAAATATTATTCTGTTGTTACCTAATAAACTCACTAACACCATCATAAACATATTTGGATTTGGATTACAGCACAGCATACTAAAGCAATCTTACAAAGGACAGGGATGCCTTCATGGAGGATATTTCAAGGGAAACTGATTCAAATCCGTGTTAACCATGCAGCATTCCCATTTACTGGGTTTTGCATCCAGGTCAAACTACAGTGTTTGCCTACTTTACCATTCAGCCACTGGCAGACATCATTTTATAATCATACATTTTTAGCAGATGCCTCAATGAACTCATTTCTGATTAAATAAGTTTCTCATTTTAAATATTTTAATGCCATTTTATAGCTCATAATGTAATTTGTACCATTATCTCCAAACGTCATCAAAATCCTTCATGTAGATTTTTATTCAGCATGCATATTCTAATTGTCCTCCAAATTAAAGATACCATGGCATACATGAAATGTAAAATATCAATCAAGAAGAAAAGTGTTGGTCTGAATATCATTATTTTTATTCGTCTACCTGTCCTTTAGCTTACTTATTAAAACTTCATGCAATTGCATTAGCCAACTGTATCACAAAAGGAACATGAAAATGGAAAAAAAAACTGCTTTAATTTTGCAAAATTTCATATAAATACCAGTTTTTAAAATTAAGTACAATTTAGTGCATTTTTTGCCAAAACTTCAAATATTTACATCTCATCTATATCATAGATGATTACATTACTTGCAAGCAAAAAAAATTCTGCTGATAAAAATTACAGAAAATGTCTTTAAAAACAAAAGTGCTGCATCGTTTGTCTCTCGCCTTTATGAGTTATAATACATATCCAGAAATGCATACTTTCTTCATTTTGACATTTGCTAATAAAAATTCAAAGTAATTAGAATTTAATTATCATAGAATATACAAATTAATCAGTTAATCGACCTTGCCATAAAAATTTTGACCACAAACAAATGCGTGTTTTAGCACACTAAGAATTAGTGCTAGCAGTTTCTAACGAATTACATTATTATTTGTCCTCACCTTTATGAATTATAATACATATCCAGAAATGCATACTTTCTTCATTTTGACATTTGCTAATAAAAATTCAAAGCAATTAGAATGTAATTATCATAGAATATACAAATTAATCAGTTAATTGACCTTGCCATAAAAATTTCCACCACAAATTAATGCATGTTCTAGCACACCAGGAATTAGTGCTAGCACTTTCTAACGAATTACATACCTAAATTTATTGTGATGTGGAATGAATATTGTGATTTTTACACACAAATATTTTCTTTTTGTGTAGTAAAAAAGTGAGGTCCCCAGTTACTTAAAAAGTTAGTAGTTTTGATGACTTCGAAATTATTAACAATTCAGTTTTCCATGAAACTTCCACTTGAATTCAAATTAAAAGTTTTCACTTTTTATAGCTAATAACTTCTCTGTTAAGTATGTTAAGGTCATATAAGGACTTCTTGCAATGATTGTACTGGCAGTATTTTGGTACTTAAGACAGTAGCAAACAGCAGCAAGAGGGATGGGGAGAAAATGAATGATACTAAGATACCATGCTTCTTTACTCTTTCTTTTCTCTCTTTTTTTTTTTAATATTTATTACAATTCAACTATGTAAAATACAGTATTATATATTTTGAAGTAACATGAAATTCTTACAAAAGGAATGCATATTTGGCATCAAAATAACAAATGGTAAGTAAAAATATTTTCATCAAACAAAATCAGGTAAACTGCTGTAAATAATTACCAACTAACAACAAAAATATCTTTGGTATATCAAAATATGGCCACTAATGGAAAAGCAATGCACTAGCAGGTAACAGGTAGTTTTGTAATCAACAAATATATGCACAGAAGGTAAGCTGGGATTCTTTGCTTGAGTTACTGAAATTCAATAACAAGTTAAACCCTGTACACAGTCACTAATAACAAAATTTAAAAAATTATGACATGAAACAAAGGTTTAAAACAGTTATAAAATAGGAAAACAAGTAGCTAAAGCTGCTGATATACTACAGATGACATTCACTTAGGAAATATAAAATGACTTTTATGTAAAGAAATATCTTTGGCATAATGATAAAATATAATATTCAGTTTGAGAACAAAGACAAAATATAAGCTCTCATATGCAGCACAAGTTAGAAATATATTTACACGTATTCTCTAATTTCTCAACTTAAGCAAATGCGTGTAACATTGAGTATGACCAGAATTTAGAATACTTTAAAAGTTTCTTCTTTGATGCACAGCTTGATAATATATTTAAAAAGCTGCACTCAATATTACTAGTTGTCTTGAAAGTACCATCAAACAAATTCTTCAACAGCATCATTTGCTTATTTTTACCCCTTTTTATTTTGGTACCTTTCTGTAAGTTTCTATCAATGCAAGTCAAACACTATCTTGAACTGCCATCTTTTCTGCAAATAAATTAAAAGCACACAATGAAAATCTATATGCATGGTACGTTATTTTTTTTAATTAAATACCAAAATTACACTAGCATAAATCATACTGGAAACAGAAAATCAGGTGAGAAGCAATGTAGGAATGCTATAAATTTTACAGTTAAAAAAAAAGTAACTACATTAATTGGCTAAATAATTGATAACTTACAACTTTTCTCTGTTCCCCAAAAATGACACACACACACACACACACACAAAACAAAAAAAAAAAAAAAAAAAAAAAAATTTAATGGGGGGGGGAAAGATTTAAAGTAGTGCATTTTTTTAAATTATGCAATAATACAAAGAAAAACAAATTTTTTAAACATTAACATTAAATTTATAATTTTGACACATAATTTAATAACATTCCAGCAGTTTAACAAAAAGTGCCATCCCATCAACAATATTTACCTATATTTATGAACAACACAGTATAGATATTTGAGTTTTCCAAAAAGCGTAAGGTGGGGGGAACCACAACATACAATTGTTTCCTTTCTGTTTCAAACATACTAAACAACATACAGTTTTGAATGTTCTTCAGTGGCATCAGAGTATCAGACAGAATGTTTCATTACAACACCTAAAATACTTAATATATCAGCTTATAGGCTGCTGCCTTTTCATCACTCTTGATACCAAGAATCTCATTTGCATCTCTTTCTCATAAATCTATTTATTAAATAATGATATCAAAATTAACATTCAGAAAAACAAATCTGTTACCTACACCAATATGTTCTAATTCAAAACAGTATAAAAGGATCAGTATTCTTTTAGCAATGGAAATTCCTGTAGATGCAGAAGGTAGCAACCTATATTTTCAAACCATTTCCTGTAGACCAATATCTGCTATCATTGCATCCTCTTTATATTAAAATGCAGCGGTATAAGCAAGCATTATCACTGAAGCCAATGAGAATGTTCTCAGATGAGTCCCAAGACATTAGTACAAAGTCTGTAACCCGGACTCGTCAGGACTTCGGCGATTCCGGATTATAGATCATCAATTTAAATCTGGCAAGATAGCGTGCAGAAATTATACAATTAAAAATATGAAATTGTAATTTATGAAATAAAGAGCAATTATGATTTAAAGGGTATCAAAATTTACCAAAAAAAAAAAAAAAGCTTAATATTTATTTGTTTACTTTATTAAACATTTCTTTCAATGTAAGTTGTTTAAGTTGCTTCTTTTTTGTGCTAATACTTTCTCTTGAATTCTATAAACAGACATAATTTCTTGTTCAGTTATAAAGTTCCACTGTTCAAGTCCTGTAATTGATGTATCGAGAAAAACCGATTAACTCGTCAATCGAAATTTTTTCATTTTCAATAACCTCTCTGTCACTTTCTTCACTATCAGAAGCCGTATTTTCTGGATCTAGAACCATTCTACAGATTTCGCCATCCGTTAATTGATTGATGATTGGGGCATTGTCATTGCAATGAAAAACTTTTGTTATATCACCTTTATTTATAACCACTTCTCCACATTTCTTTACAAAATCCTATAACTGGAAAATTTCACCTTTAGTTTGCGATGTCCGAAAACCTTCAAATTCGCGGCTATTATCTTCATCGTCTTCACCATGAAATATGGTAGCTGGCCATAAATTATGCCAAGCATTTTTTAACGTATCTGGAGAGACATCCTCCCACGATCTTGCGATACTCCACACAGCAGATTTTATGCTAAAAAATTTCAAAAAGTCTTGAATAGTCTTGCCATTGTTCAAGAACAATTTCAAAATTTAATACAGATTTTAAAAATGCTACTGTATATTTGCATTCCAGTGCGTGCACTATTCCCGTATCCATAGGTTGAATGATAGATGTACAATTTGGAGGGAAGAACAATACCGATAAGGTTTGTTCTTCACTCCATATTTAAAGAGAAAGCATTAGCCCAAAAAACAAAGCAACTTAAACAACTTACATTGAAAGAAATGTTTAATAAAGTAAACAAATAAATATTAAGCTTTTTTTTTTTTTGTAAATTTTGATACTCTTTAGATCATAACTGCTCTTTATTTCATAAATTACAGTTCTGAAGATAACTGTTTACTAGTAATGAGTTCAATGAATTCATCTGTATATTGTTCAGCAGCTTCAGTATCAGCTGAAGCTTTTTCACCTGAAATGTTTAATTGTCTTATACCATGGTGATTTTTAAATTTGGTTAACCAACCTGTTGAATATGAGCACTCAGTGTTTAAATTCATTTCTTCATGAAATATTTTGGCTTGAGCCATTAGCATTGGACCCGTCAATGGCACACCCTCGCTGCGACGCTGTCTGACCCACTTAATCATCACTTTGTCACAGTCGTCATTTTAGCATAATGAACCCTTTTTCTGTTATTCATTGCAAGTGGGGTGTCGGAATCCACAAAAATTCAAACAGTTCTTTTTTCTTTTTGCTTATGTCATATACAGTTGACTTTCCAATTTTGAGACGGATATGCCTTTATCAATTTTTTTGCAGCAATTCCACTTTTTGTTTGATGGACATTGAAACATGCTTTGATCATGTGGTGTAGTAGATCCTTTGGCAGCTCCAGAATTGGAAACTCTTTTTGACATAATTGAAAGTTCAAGCTTAATTTTTATAAAACTGCTCTAACAGTCTGCAAAAAATAATAAGGTGGATTAAGGATTAAGGAGCAGTGCAATCTGTAATATTAACTGAAATGCCTCAGAATCAGTAAAGATAATTTTAGCCTAGCTTATACCATCGATTATACGTTAAACGCGCATGTATAAAGCATACCAAAAAAAAAAAGTTTGTGGCTTTGAGGTCCGCATTATAGATCATTCCAGATAATGGACATCCGGATTACGGACTTCGTACTGTACGAATACTTCTGGACACTGAAAGCTGTGGTGGAACAGGAAAAGCATAATCACCAAAGATATGTTCAAAGTTATTATGGGGACCGGTACGTAATGTCACTTTCTCACATTAAATTCAAATGAATAAATTTTTAACAAGTTTTTATTTTTAAATCAATATAATCACTCTTATTTATCAACAACCTTTCCCCATCTAGTGTGCAGATTTTAAATCCCAGACTGATAAAAATAAATTGGTTTTCGAGTAAAATATCTTCAGATGGCATTTTGGACATCATCCAGATTTTCAGATTTTTTGCCGCTAAGAAAATGTCATAGGGATTGGAATAAATGGAAATCTGAGGGTGCGATATTGGACGAGTATGGTGGGTAAGGCAGTACAGCAAAACCTTCCACCGCAATTCATTAATTTTTCCAGTGTTCATCAGGGTTTGTACACATTTCTGCACATGAAAATTAAGTACTTTTAAGGACCATTAATAAAAAAAATTAAGGACCTATAAGCGAATGGGTCCTTAATTTAAAATTCAATTAAAAATAAATTCCATTAAAAATATTATCTATGCCTAAACTTCAATTTTGTAATACCATCCTAAAAATAAAATAGATCTGTAAGTAGGATGCATTATTATTAAACACGACTTAATTAAGTCTGAGTAAGTATTATTAAGTCTGAGAATAAAATATATCAAGTTTATGAAGGAGCATTATATATTTTACACTTATAAGAAATGAACATATTTGAAAGGAGATACGCGACATTTTATTTAAGTTTTACAAACAGTTAGTTTTATGTTTATTTTATTTTATATCTCATTTTGTCACATACTTGCTCAGTCTAGAGCTTTAGTAAATAGTAAGCAGATTTTATGTCAAGCGGCATAGGTTAAAATGAGAAGTAAAATCATAATCAGCATGATTCACAACAAAAGACTGCTAATGTCACTGTTGCTGGTTACCTAAAGAGAGTCCTGCTGATCAGAACAAACCTGAAAGGCCTGATGCAGGCACGGTTGGCAAGTTCTGAAAGTTAGCTGGGCTCTGTCTGACGCAGTTAGTCTCGTAGCTTTGTGTAGAGTTCCAGGGATTGTGACTCAGTTAATATACTTTAAGGTTCTAATAAGCCACTAAAGCACCAGAGGTGATAAGTTGTTTTGCATTATTTTAAGTCTCACTAGATGCGAAGAATAAATTTTACACGAATTTTTTACATTTTTGTGTTTTATCTTGTGACTACAGTAAGGGTTAATGAAATGCAATAACTCACTTTAATATGCAGAGATAATTTTTAAGGGCAAGCACTTAGTTATAAGTAATTAAATTAGGTACAAGATAACCTTAGTCAGTATGGACTTACATGGCCACTATTAAATTTATAAAAAAGGCCCTATTAAAATCCCAATCTAATAAAATTTCACAGTTTAAAATACACGAATTTACGACATTGATTCTTAAACGATATTCGGATAATTACACATTAAAAGCTACAAAACATAACAACACTCAGCAAAATATTTCTGCGTCTTTTTAATTTGAAGCTTTCCCAGACATTTTTGATAATTGTTGAAAAAGGCCCTATTAAAATCCCAATCTAATAAAATTTCACAGTTTAAAATACACGAATTTACGACATTGATTCTTAAACGGTATTCAGATAATTACACATTAAAAGCTACAAAACATAACAACACTCAACAAAATATTTATGCATCTTTTTAATTTGAAGCCTTCCCAGACATTTTGGATAATTTATATCGATTTCCTTCTCTTTAAGCACCTTTTCTAACAATTGGAAATTTGTCTCAACACACAAAATAATGTTCTCACTAGTTTCTGTGTGTTTTTATCTCCTAACCTGTCCACAATGTACCTATGAGGGTTTATTTGATGTGGTAAATTTTAAATAGTCCAAAACACATCAACAGATAAGAAGCAAATTATTGCTATATCTGAAAGTAACTACAATGTCTGACAAAGGTTTAAATAAGATTCTTATTTAAAAAGAACTTAAAAAATAAAGGCATGTTCTTATGCTAACAAAATCAATTACAACTCATAGTGAGGTAATAAAACAAGAAGAGTCTAATTCAAACTAAAAATATGGAATAGTGGTCA